GGCCCATCCATCTTTCCAATGTGGGATTCTAGCTATGGGGGAAAAGAGGTAGTACCGTTTCAGAAGTTAACATTTTCTAACTCTGAAAATGTATTTTCGATAGGTACTTACCTTCTCTCACCCACTTCCTCCCCACTAATTTGCTGGTGTTCTTGGGTTTTTATATTCCAATTCTTGAAAGTGAGAATTGTGCTGCAATGTTAGAAGGAGCTGCACTGGTATAGAGGGTGTTCTGGGATTGGTGGAGGGTGGTTACATGATCAGCACATGTTGCTGCAATGTTAGAAGGAGCTGCACTGGTATAGAGGGTGTTATGGGATTGGCGGAGGGTGGTTACATGATCAGCACATGTTGCTGCAATGTTAGAAGGAACTGCACTGGTATAGAGGGTGTTATGGGATTGGTGGAGGGTGGTTACATGATCAGCAATGGTAGAAGGAGCTGCACTTGGTATAGAGGGTGTTATGGGATTGGTGGAGGGTGGTTACATGATCAGCACATGTTGCTGCAATGTTAGAAGGAGCTTCACTGGTATAGAGGGTGTTATGGGATTGGTGGAGGGTGGTTACATGATCAGCACATGTTGCTGCAATGTTAGAAGGAGCTGCACTAGTATAGAGGGTGTTATGGGATTGGTGGAGGGTGGTTACATGATCAGCACATGTTGCTACAATAACACAAAAAATATATGATGCGCTGTTATTGAGATTTACCAATGCCTAGAGAGTAAATGAAGGTTGAGATAGCTATGGGTGAGGTAAATACCTATCGGAAATACATTTTCAGTGTTAGAAAATGTTAACTTTTGTGGAAAAGGTTTTTTAATAGAGGTTGAAGAAAATTTGATTTTATCTTACTTAATGAATGTGAATAAATTATTTCGTAATTGAACTTTTTATTCACCAAGTATAAACTGTAACTATTTATCTCTGAAAAACTTATTTAGCCATAGAAAGAGCATGACTGTTATTCCAATATATGTATATTCACATACCTTCTTTTCTTACAGCAAATCCTTGAAAGATTTGTCAATTTTCAAAACCCACCACAGTCATATTTGCATGATCCACTAAAAATATGTATATTTTTCTTAGCCACTTAGCTTCAACTTTAGGAAGAATATGCTGTATTTTTGATAAGAACTTTTCTAACCAAACTTAAGAATTAAATTTAGAACATTATTACAAAAATTTGATGATGTTAGGTAGATAATTGGGCTTCAGTAGTCAGCTTTTTTTTTATATACACAGAGAATCTTTTTCTTTACTATTGAATATTCTTATATTATGTAAAAAAACATGAAACAATCTTTTAGTCACACTGTAATAAAGAGCTAAGATTTTCCGTGTCTTACATTAATAGTACTTGTAAAGAATTGCGTTAAAATTGATATTTACTAACTTAAAATTATTTCATCCTCTTGAATAGTTTTAGTGATAAATTGTGGCATTGTTAAATGTAATTTAATGTTATGATTCTTTTACAGCTGATATCACTGGTTCTCCCCTTGGTGAATATTCTCAAGAAAGTCCTCAACGACGTCCTCACAATAAAACACCTGGTCCACCTGTTCTCCCACCTCATTTGCTTCAAGTGATTCTCAACAAGGATATTCCAATCTCGGTAAGCTTCTGTAACTTTTATATCAGTAGCAGTAATGAATAGTCTTCACAGTTTATAATTATTTGTGGTTCATTGAAGGCTGCCAGTGGTATATTTAGTAAATGAGAGAAAAGCTTCAAAGTGAAATAAGAATTTCACAAATTATCATATACAGATTAGTAATCTTCTAAGTTCTGTTATTGTTTGTTTTCTTTTCACTTATATGTTAGCCCCCCAGTGGCACAGCGGTATGTCTGAGGACTTACAATGCTAGAAACAGGGTTTCGATACCCGTGGTGGGCAGAGCACAGATAGCCCATTGTGTAGCTTTGTGCTTAACTTCAAACACTTATGTTTACTGATATGTAGGTTTTGGTTTCTTTCTTTCACTAGTGTGAACCAACGCTACTTCCAGAACCAAACCACGTCATGCTTAATCACCTCTATGCTCTCTCAATAAAGGTAATTATTTAGTTCATGAGCATTTTATAATACTTTATATATAAAGAGTGTAATTCAAATTCTGATGCATTTTTCTGCTAGAAGTTTATATTTCATTTAAGAATGAAATACTGAAAGTAATAGCAGTCTCCTATTTATTGTTTATGTATGTTATGACATTTTTTTTACTTAGAAGAACTGTTTTTGTTTTGTTTTCCAGCTAAGAAATAAAGTATGGTTCAAATTTATATATATATTTATGTATGATATTAACAAAGTTTTTTTATTTGGTAGCTATAAAAGTACATAATCTGCTTGTTTCAGGATGGTGTTTTGGTACTAAGTACAACCCAACGTTATAGAAAAAAATATGTCACAACAGTGTTTTATAAGCCAATTTGATGACAGAAACTTAGTGCAGACTGCGAACAATAAGACTCTTTAGAAGATGTGGAATCATCTTTCATCATTGTAGAGATGACCATAAAAGAAAATACACCTGTGGAGCTATTAAAATGAATTCTTATTGGTCAGTTACAGGGTGTTAGAATAGAAATTAAGTCAGTATCCTCTGCATTTTTATTTATTCACAGCTAAGGTCAACACTATTGTGAAATATGATCTTACCTAGAACATTTGTGTATTAGCTTGGCTAAGCAGTGTTTATTTACCAACCATGGGAGAGTAAAAACAGTGGTTCTTGAAGATATTTTGGATATTAACTGTTCATATGAGTCGAACACTGATTTTTCTTGCAAGTTTGTTATGTGAGTTACAAACAAGACACCTCAAATGTTTTAGATTAACGTGATTGTGTTAAACACAACACGTAAGAGAATCTTAAATTTACACATCTAAAATATTTTGTTTTCATTTTACAAATTTATAACGGTTTCCATCACGTGTTAGGGACTTATTTTTTACTTATTGCCTGTTATTTAGATTTTTTTAAGTACTTAAAGCCACCATGTAATCCCTCCATGTTTCCAGGGCTGTACCAATCATTGATGACACCCTGTGTGATATTAATTTCTGCACCCCTTTCTTAAAAAAATTCTATCCTTGTCTTCAAGGATGCAAACTTACACCCCTTAAATGTCTGTGCTCTGTGTGGGTGCACCATTCACACTACCCTTCATGTTTCCAATGAATAATTTTATGATATACAGATACTTAAATATACGTTAGGTTTGATAAACTTAACACTTACATAAATGTTACTATTAACTAGAGGTTACGGACTCTGAACTTTGTAGTTTTCAGTCAGAAATTTAAATTGAAAATTTATTCATACCATTAGAATAAGAAAGAAATATTCACGAAAAACCTGTTTTTATGACTAAAACTTTTGATTTCTGTAAGTCTTTATTTTAATTATTATTATGAAAATTTCAAAAAAGCTTTCAGTTTAGCTTGGAGTAAATTATATTTTTATACAAGTATTCTATTTGGGATTAATCCATAAAAATTTGTGCATGGCTCATTTCATATGTAAGGATAGTTTTAAAAAAAAACTAAAGTGTTTGATGTTTGAAATATTTACTTAGGTAGATTTAAGAGGATAAGAATTTCAGCTTTACTTGAGAAATAGGACACTGTTTAGCTTCAAACTGTAGATTAACCCTTAGTTTGGAATAAGTTACACAACTGCTGAAAAAAAAAAAAGATTCATTATTGTGGTTTGTTTGAAGTTTGTTTTTTTATTGTTGTAGGTTGTATTAAGACATGTCAATGCTGGAAGATGGTTTGGATATTTTATGGAGTTTTGAAGCTGCATTACAGGTGTAGATCTATCACTATATGTAGAATAGAAAATTTAACATACACACACACACACACACACACACTAGAATATAAATATATATATATATATTGTCTGAAAAAATTACTATAGTTAGAGAACTTATATTTCTATCAGCAGCTTTTATATTGAGCATGGCTGAAACCAGCTACGTGGCCTGTATGTATGTTTGAACAAACCAAAAACCCTCCGGGAATTGCATAGAATGGCTGTGAGAGGGCTAAAATTTCAAATTTTTTCTTGGGGGACTTGTAGCACCCCCCCAAGTCCACAGCTGATTGTCATTTCTTGCCTCAATAAATTTATATCTCTGGTTATGGCCATGTTGAGGGTCTATAATTATCTTGCTCTCCCATTATGAATACTTGTTTGTGTTAAACCCATATTTCCCACAGATATTCAAGGTATCTTTATCAATTTAACCAGTTATTTACATCTAATTAGTTCAGTATTAATACCATTATATTCTGTATAATATAATTATATTTCACAATTCTCTAACCGATACGTTTACCACGTGTGTAGTTGTAAACAATTTTTAGATTAACTTAAAGAGCTGTCAATAGATGACAGGACACTTGATATGCGGGCTTGATTTGTTTAGAATCTAGATAACTGACTTGCAAGATTTTTTGAAATCTAGTCTGAAATGTTTTTGCTTATTGTAATAAAGCTTTTTTAAAGTCTTCCTGTCAGTAAAATTCAAACTTAGATAGTTGAAGTTAATTAAAATAAGTGATAAAATGCCAAGAAATTGAAAAGTTAGAAGCTTCTTATCATAGTATATTAATATATATATATATATATTTGTGAGTGAACATTTTCTTCAAATGTTTTAGAAGTTTTGAAAACCCATTCAGGCTTGGTGGGTATATTATTTTTTAGTCTGAAAAGCCAAATTTTGTGTTATTGTGTTGAAGTGTATTTTTGCATTTAGTGCTACTCTGCCAATTTTAGTTTTTGTATACATTTTGGAATGTTTGTGTTTACATGCAGAGTTAGTTGTTGTATATGAACAACGAAAAAGGTGTATCTGCTGTCAATATGTAAAGATATATTTTACAAGTTATATCTGAGTTGAAATCCTTTACACATATATTTATAACACTTTGGTTTTAAGCTGAAACTGCTTTTTATATATGAATTAAATGTTTATTTGCATACGTTTATTTTCACTTTTGAGAGGTTAACTATTTGGAAATCTAAGCTACTTAGAAAAATATTCAGAAGTTACTTTTCTTGAGTATGTTCCTACCTATTTATTTCTCTCTCTCTTATTTTATGGAAAGAACAAAGTATGATATATAAAAGGTTTTTTGGATTTGGTCCACTTTTTTTTTAGAATAATTCCTGGATATATATATATATATGAAATTGTAAATATTTATTAACCATTGCTATAAATTTTCAAACCTTTTAACTTGCACATACTACAGTATTTTAGTCAAGAATAAATATAGCCTAGGTGTCGATTTTACAATAAGTTTGTCATTTACTCAATGGTTTGTGATCTAACATGCAAAAAATTCAGTTAAAAATTGTTCTACAGTATGTTCACTGCGTATAATTTTTTTCAGAAAAGTTTTCTTTTCAAGCCAAATGTTTTAGTTACATGAAATAGTATTCATATAATACTAATACAACTCACACTTTTCTTTACATTCACCTTGTTGATTAAGGCTTGAGATAAAAATAAAGAAAAAGAGGTTTAAGACAAATCAGAGCACTTTTTTAAGTCCTAAAGTCATGCTACCTTCTAGAATAACTTATATTACTGAATTAAATACTATTTTAGGATTACACCCATTAGGCTTAGATCAGGCCTCCAAAATTGGTAGGTATTCCTACCAGAGGAAATTGTATTACCCAAAATATTTCAAATGTTATTACCTTCAAACAAGTGATGAGCATATATGTTGCTCATACCTAGCAAAAGTTGTGCAGATAAGCCATACAGTTTATCTATAGCAGAAACGTAAGAAACGTGTTGTCTACATGATAAATTTTTGATTTTAATGTTGAGATTTGTAGCATGACAATTTGATTATAACGAAGGTACGTTAGTGAACTTTGTAGTTGTTTGAAATAAATTACTTCATTTTGTTATTTTAATGAATAAGTATATTACCCTTTTGCCTTGTGGAACCAAGATACTGTTCCAGTGAAAAACTGTTTAAAAAAATCTTCCTTTAACTTTATTATTTGTATTTTTTATTAAAATAATTTGGCTTTACTTTGAAATATTTTGCAGGTTATAGGGTAAGGTTATGGTGTATCTTATACAGCCTAGGTGATATTAACACACAAATAGTTTGTGTAGAAAAGATGAGTGAATGAAGGAGCAATAACAGTATTACAATGTAAGTTATTTATAAGGACTGAGTAAAATTGTTCTTTTGAGGCATTATGGGAAATCTGTTGGGATGCTTATTTTTTTGGGTTACAGACCATTAGATAAGTGTGCATCTGATGCTTAAAAAATGGAAGGTATTGAAAAAATTTGTAAGTTATTTAGTCATTTTGGTAAGTCCACGTCTGTGACTTAAGCATGTTTTGGGGTTTATATAGTATATCTTGTAAAAATAGTAACAGGTTATTGCATTTTAAACACAGCATTTTTTGTTTAGCAAATCTTTGATATGAATTAAAAAGTATAGTATTTTGTTAGGACCACTAGGGTTATATACAAATAACATATGCTGTGATATTTGAGAGTTTTCCTGAAAAAAACTGAATATTTCTGAAAGAGATCTTTATGGATGAGGTTGAAGTATACATTGTAATTTAGCCCTGTAAAAACTTGCAACTAGTTTGTGCAACAATTTATCATAAATAGATTCCTATTCAGAAATACTGCTATAGAAGTTAGATATTTTGATCACTTATTTTGCAGGCTGTACTTATTTCTTTTGTTTACTTAAGTGATATGCATGAAAGTCTTAATGACTATAATGTGAAATTGTAGGATAGTTTGTTTTTGTGTTCTATTGTTTATGTTAATGCTGTTTTCTAAGTAAAACCTTCAAAAACACAATTTAGTGTGTGATGTCCAATTGATAAACTCAAGACTACGGGCCCAAAACGACCCGGCATGGCCAGGTGGTTAGGGCGCTCATCTTGCAATCTAAGGGTCGCGGGTTTGAATCCCAGTCCCACCAAACATGCTCGCCCTTTCAGCTGTGGGGGCATTATAATGTGATGGTCAATCCCACTACTCGTTGGTAAAGAGTAGCCCAAGAGTTGGCGGTGGGTGGTGATGACTAGCTGCCTTCCCT